AAAAAAAAAAAAAAAAAAAAAAGCAAACACCAGAATAACAACACAAAAAAAAATTAAGCCAGTTCCAAATTCCAATTGCTTTGCCCAGCCCTACAACGCCCCAAAGCTTCACACAAGAGCTTGCGGGAGTGAACTAGATCTGAATCCACTAAAATCTCACAGAAGTAAATCCAAAAAAAAAATCTCCTGTCGAGCAAGCACCATCCACTTCATCGTAGCACACATTCAACACGACCGAGTTCTGCAGCCAGGTCCTCCCACATCACAGTCCATCTGTGTGAGAAGAACAGATTGCGGGGGAGATGGTAGACGGCGCATCTATATCTATCGGCACTTGTTGATTCTCTTACGATTCAAGACTGCACCGCTAGATAGCGTAGCATTTCCCTCCCTCTATCTATCCATCCTCCACCCTTCCATCCATCCCCGCATCCGTGCATCATCACAATCCCTGGGCCCAACCATCTTGTGTTTGTCTTGCAACTCGTTCCCGGGACCGTTGGAGATTGGAACGCTTGTCAGAACAGGAACAGGATGGTCCCCCAGTTAATCAGGAGGAGCATTGCCTGAGTAAATGTTGTATTTCATCGTCTTTTTTTTTTTTTTTTTTTTTTTTTTGTATTCCATTGTCTTGCCGCGGTCGAAAAGGAACCAAACTGACGCTCCCCAGAATGGACATGGAGCCAGAAGCCATTTTTAAACTGCCAACGACACTGTGAGTGACCACATGACCGACGAGAATATCGACAGCGAACCTCGGAGACCTATTCAATCAACACAGATCCAATCCACATCTGGTAGTAAAGGTCATGTTTATCGACGACTGGCAGAAGCTTCGCCCTCCAACTGGGTGTCAACATGCATAGGCCCACCATTTCCTCCTGACACCCAGTTGATCACTTTCAGTATCATCGGTTATGGGACTCCGCAGACTGCAGAGGGGCATGGGTGAGTGATAGTCTGCTTTTATTTTGTCACGGGTACGTTGAGGGCAGTGGGTGGTGCCCCCCTCCGGGTATCAGTTGTTGGACAATCATCGATGCTTAACCACAACCAGGGTTAAGGTGCATTATCACTTTCTGTATAATTGGTTAGGGGACTCTGCAAACCGTAGAGGGTTCATCCTCCTGATGAAACTCCACCCACACACACACAGAGAGAGAGAGAGAGAGAGAGAGAGAGAGAGAGAGAGAGAGAGAGAGAGAGAGTAGGCAAAGGTGCTTGGAATGGGGACAAAATGGTGGAGCATAGAACACAATGAAGCAGGTTCTGGCTGTTGCGAGAGAGCCACACTTGCCCTGCCATCGTGAACCTTGACAACAAGGGCGTGCAGACGTCAGTCAAGTGAGCAAAGTAGAATGGAGACTTTTTGGCATTCTTCCTCAGTCCTCCGTTTCCAAGATGCTTCAGCCTCCTTTCGACAGACGAGACGGCCGGGTCGGCCCTAACCTTATAGTACTCCGAACTGGGTATGAACACCGGATCTATTTTTCAACGGTTCTATGTGTGTACCGTTCAGCCACTTTATCTTTTTGGCGCAGTTGGTTATCGGATACAAGCACTGCAAAGGAAGTCTTGACAAATCTGAAACAATTCTCAAACAATTGACTAAGGTCAGCAGAGAATCGCGTGAGAAAGGTTTGATTGCGTCGATAGTACTTGATACCCTTACTTTTTTTGCTGGCACAGCCCTCCAATGGATCCTCTTTTAAGGAGCTTACGACCGTGCTCATTCCAATTACCACACTCGAAAGAGCTGCGTAGTAATTACCCTTAAGGATTAAAGCCAATAACTAGCAATCTTGAACCACCAGCACCTTTCCCAGCCAACTTGCCGAAACGCGCTGGTTAACACGGAGGCCGCACTCGGCCTCCAGGGCGGCCAGATGCGCTGCCAAAACTCAGTGCGCAGGGCCCGTGGCCCATAGCTGGGAAAGGTACTGGCGCCAAAACTCGGCGCGCAGGGCCCGCGGCCCATACTCTGGCGGTGTAATTCCATTTTTCCGGACTCGAAAAAAAGAAGGATGATTCCAATTACCAACCTTGAAAAAGGATATTGCTATTTTTCGTACCCATACTACCCAATGAGGTATTGCTATTTATTGTCACTACCTCCCTATGTCAGGATTGGGTAAATTAGTAAATTACCCTTCTTCACGGAGCAGCTCATCACATATCTCCTGCAGGCCGGGCAACGCAGCACCATCAGAATCATTTACGCCATCACTGCCCGCGTCGTCAAGCTGACTTTGCACCTGACATTCATACACACCGTATTCAAAAGAGGTACAATCCAAATACGATGAGCTCAGTGGGTCTCCAAAACAAACAACAAGAAAAGTTGCAAGAGACCTTGCAGACACCAATACTTAGTGCTCCTATCTATCATCAACAATATTCATTCTTGATTACTCATTACTCATCAGTCATTAGTCATTAGTCATTACTAATAAGTCATAGCTTTCGGTGAGTGGACAATGACATAAAGCAATACAGCGATAGTCACCGATAGAGCAAAAAAACGTCTGAGGAAAACTTGTGTTGGGAGATTGCCAGTCCAGGTGGCAGACTGGCATATTTATCCATCGGGGGGGGATTACAACTACTGCACAAATAAGATTGCCAAGGGGGGGTCCGGGGGGGGGTCCGGGGGGAGATTACAACTACCGCACAAATAAGGCTGACATACGGGGCAGGGAGATAGCCACCACACAAACATGCGTAGCACTGGGAGATAACCCACTTGCACAATCGAAACTGACACGCGGGCATACGAGAGCCACTGTGTTGGGAGATCACCACACCAGAAACACGAAGATTAGGACATCACAAAAGAAGACTGGCACATGGCATTGGGAGATCACAAGGAGTGCACACACATTGAACTATTTCTTTTTTCTTTTTTTTTTTTTAAGACTGCTGCATGCAATTGGGAGATCACAACTACTGGACAGAGAAGACTGACACTTGGCACTGGGAGAATACCACTGCAAACACACAAACTGATAAGTGGCATAAAAGGGCCATTGAAAGAATATCCGGCTTACAAATAGGGCGTATCTCTCCTACGCCACATGCAGGAATACTGAAGATTCTGTGAAGAAGCGTAAACTAGCAAAGACCGAAGTCAAGGTTCTTGCGAAAAAAAAAAAAAAAGTATGGGCTTTACGGGGGTCGTACAGCACCTGAATCTATGCTCATTTCTGACACAAAGGTCCTACGTATCTGCACATATTTGAATCATCAGCCAGATTCAGCCTTAGTTGTTTTTGTTTTTTTTCCCCCCCTGTACATATGGCCTTTAGCACAGAAAGATTTTTTATTTTTTTATTTTTATTTTTTTTATTATTTTTTTTTAATTTGGACCATTTCTCGATTTATGCGTGTCATCCTTGCGCAGGGGCCATGCTAATCTTCTCTGTATCGTTCCAATTTTAACAGAAAGATAATTAAAAATTTAAAATTTTTCATTTTTCCTTTTTCTCCTCTCCTTTTTAATGAGAAAAAAACATCAGAAAAGTTTTAAAATTTTCCAAGAACTTTAAAGAACAAGGGCTTAGAGCCTTAGACAGATGCAAGTGATGAAGTGTATGGTTCTGAAGATTCTCCTCACAATTCACAGTGAAAACTAGAATGATCGAAATGACAGCAGCGATGATAATGACAAAAACAACCACAATAATAACTATGCTAGGGTTTCAACTTTCAAGTTACAACTCGTAATAACATGCACACCTTTCCCTTTTTCTTTTTCTTTTTTTCCCAGTATTGATATTTACTGTCACTACCTCCCTATGTCAGGATTGGGTAATTTAGTAAAATTTAGTAATTTAGTAATTTAGTAATTTAGTAATTTTACTAAATTACGTGCCTGCTGCCTTCCTTCGATGTGGTAGCCATCTCTCAGTTTCTTTCTTTCTTTCTTTTTTTCTTTCTTTTCTTTCTTTTCTTTCTTTTCTTTATTTTTTTATTATTATTATTTTTTGCCATTTCTCAGTTTCACAGTTGCATATTTACAACTGACGAAAGTTACGATAACATTTTATGATTTTTTGAATTAAAAAAAAAAAAATTCACCTTTCCCTTTTTTCTTTTTCACAGTAACATTATGCACTGCAATAATACAACAGTATGTCCATCACGAAGGCTGCAAAAGACGGCAACAAAGCTACAAAAATAATGCCACATGAACAACCACTGGAGTGACTGGACACTTCTTTTTTTTTTTTTTTTTTTTT